AAATACCACAGTCTCATGACGTGAAAAAAGAAAACACGTTTTCATGCAAAACTGAGGGCATACTTGCTTGAGCCTAACACATGTAATTTATTTAGTACATTTTAATGTTCATTGTGCGTTTAGCGCTTTTCCCCTTGTAGTTTGCTGGGTCTTAAGACGCCTTCAAATTAGACGCTTATATAAGCGCTGCAGTGGCTGCAACGCTGAAACCGCTCCACTACTGATTTTCATACATTCATTGCTAAGAGATTGACTGTATGAAGTTGATAACGACTTCATGCATTAACTGGATGCAATCCATTTCGACTTCATGAAGTCGGTTTGGACTGCATGCAGTTAATGCGTGAAGTCGTTATCCGAGACCTCGACTGCATGTATACTTTATGAATACTTTGTACATAGTTACTTACTTTGAGATCAGAGCTGTGATGTTGTCTAATATTTCTTTATTTATTTAATTAAGTAATTTAAAATCTGATATTTTTTATTTTGATAACCTAAAGGACTTTTGTCTTATTTCACTTAAAATATGAAAAAGTATGTTCTTATAAAAATACGTAAAGAGAAAATATGTAAACGTCATGTTTAACAATACAATAAATAAATCATTGAATAATAAAAGTGTATTATTTAAAGGCAACAACTGATAACGTTGACAAATATAATAATGCGGTTGGTGAATTTTTTATACAAAACTTTTTTATATCTTTTATATTAACACAACAGCAAAATGGAGTTTGTTCAAGAAAGCGAGTTGAATGACTTATTCTTTGTTGATCTTAGTACCGGTTTTGGCTAGTTTATTAACGTGCCTTTTCTTACTTCGATTTGTTTTTAATATTACTCATAGCTTTTTATGTTTCTGGGAGCACACGCTAAAACGATTTTACTAAACACTATTTTCTAAATAATTGGTTCAACTGGGAATCAAGCCCAGGTCCTCCTCACGTTCTGCTAATAGCGTAAGCACTAATAATGCATTTCATTGATTTTTCATAGATGGCGCTACACATTGCAGACTATTGGGCTACCAAAGTCGTCGAATTCATCTGTGCTTGAACACTGCACGGAGTGCCGCACTGCTGCTATAAGGTAGAAATAGCGAGGGCGATGATATTTTCCTAGACTGGTTAGACAAAGAGATTACATACCAAGATCTACTTATTACAATATGCAGATTTCTTTATAATTTCGAAGAACTGTGCGCCTACCCATAACAGTTGCAGTACCACTCAGATTTTATATTGCAAAGATGTGAGGGGCAATGCCTCTGTACCCATCACCATGAGACATAAGTTGACAAGTCCCATGTACCTGTAATTTCACCAGCACTTCCCCTTCAAAACCGGAACGTAGTAATGCTATCATTCCTGCTTGGCGGCAGAAATAGATAACGTGGCAGTACTTCCCTGGACGAACCCTTTCACAAGGAGTTCCACTGCTAAGCTGCTTTCAAAGCTATTAATAGCATTAGTAATAACTGGTGAAGAAGTAGCAGTGACTTGGTGGCATAAACGTAATTTGCAGTAAATTTATATGAAAGTAAATTACAGAGAAATAACAAGGTCGAAAGCACCTCGAGAAAATGGACCATTAAATCAAATTACTGAACCGTCATCAGTGTTCAATTTGCTACAAAATGTGACGAAATTGCTGCAGAGAAAAAATACAATTAATGATTTATATGCCTAATTTTTGTTCAAAATGACTTTTTACACATTTACCTCTCAAATAGTGAAATCGTGAAAGTACGTAGTATTAAAACAGATAATAACAATAAATTGGCTGTTTACAACGACAGTCCATTACGAAATTAAAATTTGCCATTTACAAAGTTTCAAACTATTGTGCAATGAAAACTTCGTACAAAAGATTACTTTCTTGGATGACCAACATCCAAGAGAGTGATTCATTTAGCTCCTTCTTGTTCTTTATAGATATATGACATTTTGAATGAATTATTTTAAATGATAAATTAGGGGTGTTCTAATAGCACGTCGACGTACAAGACCTTTCCTGTACGTCTGGCACACCTGTGCAACATTCAGTAAGTACGTTACGTCGATTGACAAATCCTTTCACCACGATGGCAAACATTATAGTGTATGCCATCGATATGATTAGAAGAATGATAAACATGAGCAAATAGATATGTATATATCTATTTACAAAGAGCAACCCCTAGACTTTCCCACTCCTTCTCAGCATGCCTTACAAATAAGCAATATCGATTTCATCATTGAAATATCATTATTTGAATTTGAATTCAGTGATAGCTACTACTGTGTAACATTTACGAGTGTATTGCTTTGATATTGATAACACACTTATGGTTATTGCATCAGCTTTTAAATGATGTGGTCGTGTGATATGTGCTTTGTGTTTCTGGTGTGCTATTTACCTTTAATTTTTTTTAAATGCTCAACATTACGCAACAATGACTATTGAAGTAGATCTAAACATACAAAGTAAGAAATAGATGAAAGGTTTGTAAAAATGTAACGAGTTTGTATAGTAGATGCCGATTCATATCAATCCGTAGATAACTACAGTGTATTTCATTCCTTTGCCATATAGAAAGGACAAAGCAAAATTCTTTGCGCAAATGGGTCAATCACTGTCATAAAAATGGAGTGTTCCAGAGTAGATCAAACGAGGAAAGATAAGGAAAATCTCATGAAATACCCCTAGGTTAGTGACAATATCATCAATATAAAGTGACGGCACAATTACACTGGAGAGGAACTATAATATTCTCTAACAATAACAAATAGACGTAATACCAAAACAGAAAAGACAAACTTTCTTATAAAGACTACATGGTCAATTGTTGATTGAAATGGTAGATATAAATTACATAAGGCAGTAAAATCTGGAATAATAGTTATTCAAGTTTAGTGACAAAGTAAAAGGTAAAAATATTTACTTCATATACATATTTATTTATTGAACATCATGATGATGTTTTACTACGATGATATCTGTATATTCTTTGTTAAAATAGTCCATCTGTTTGTTGTATTACTATATAGATAAAAAGATTGAACACAAAAAAAAGTTCCTTCAATCCTCTTTAAGAGAGTTGGATAACCAACTGAGGTACAGACTGCATCACTGCTATCCACTAACCAAAATGCGGCTAAGTGACAAAAAACTTTTTTCAGATATCATATAATACCATAACCCAGTTTTAGAATATTGAAACAGTTTAATGATATTTCAGCCATGCATTGTTAGGGTAAATTCCAATAAGTCAAACATGTTAAATAATTCTAACTGTTTTTAAAAGATAATTTTGTGTTCTGTTTTTTGCTATTCAAAACGGTTATTTGACCAGTTGTCAATTAGCCACATTTTAGATAGTGGACCCCAAATCAGATCTTACAAATTTCTTGCAGATCTTTGTATTCGCTTTAAATAGCCCCGGCATACCAACAGACTGATTTGAGTCCATTCATACTAAAAAAATTTTTCTTTGTGTTAATTACTAACCAATACTTTATTATATATGTATGATCGATCACACACAATAATCCACTTAAAAATTTTTGCTTTTGTATTGTAATTTATTGTTTGTTTTTTAGGTTGTAATTTATTATTTGAATCCTTAATGCTCTGTAAGTATATGCTTCATACACTTCATACATATTATGCTTTGTGTAAACAGCACACTAATTTGCACAGACAACCATCTTTTTCTCTCCACATTTTAATGTTCTGTGTGACCTTTTGGGAGGTAGCTGAAAATCAGCGCGTCGTTTTTACGACGGCTTTATGCTAAGCTGCGTCCTATGCGCCATGCCAGCACACATGATACATTTTTCTATTATAAGTAGATTTGATTTTAGTATTTATTGTTTATTTAATCCTGTTTTTGTTCGTTTTAAGTATTTCTTTCGTTAATTGTTCTGTCAATGTATTTCATGTAATGTGTGTGCTTTGTTGGCAAATAAACTATCTATCTATCATGTTGTAAGATCTTTGTACTCACTTCATACTGCTACTCTTTAGTAGCAGTAGATCTTGTGAAAGAGTTTGTACAGGGAAGTACGGGCACTTTACGTATTTCTGCCGCTAAGTATAAGTATTACTGTATTCTGGTTTTGAAGCATAAGCGTGCTGGTGAAATTACAGGCTAATGAGACTTGTCAACTTATGTATCAGGGTGACGGGTGCAGTGGCAGTGTTCCTCAGATCTTTGTATTTTAAAACTCTGAGTGGCACTGCAATTGTTATAGACAAGCATGTAGTTTACCATCAGTTGATATTCTAAAAAAGTGCTAAATATTTTGTACTCCAGCACAGCAGCTCTTTCAATTGTTAAATTTTAAAAAATACCATGTGTAAAAACTATAATATAGTATAAACAAATAAGAACCTGGTACTTTGTCATCTAGCACCCAGAGTGATATTGATTGGACAACTGAAGATTATCATACAAACTGAGCTAATAAAATTTAACATATGCAGTATTTGTCTTAAAAGGTTTTTTAGTAGTTTTAGGTAGTGTTCTGTGTGATGCCATTAACCATTTATTTTGTGAACTTATTTATAGCAGTAATTTTACAGCACATTCAGCGAATTGTCTAGGTGTTATTGGAAGTTTTACTCTGGTAACATGGCTATTATTTTATTTTTATTAAAAAATATACAAAAACAACCTTATCACGTAGATTTCTTCAATCCAAACTTCACAAACGTAATCCACAAATTTAACAAAAATCAACGTCAACGGCATCACAACAACACATATACGTTTCATGGTCAACGCTAACAATAAAAAAAAACACTTATGACAACAAACAAAGGATATACCCCTAGCTGTTTAGCACGGAAAAAATCGATTTCGCAACATTAATATTACACGATATCTGCACAAAAACGTTCTTGAATACATCCTAAATATCCTATGGGAGGAATATTTAACATTGCGTAAGCCAACAATATAGAAATACTACGCAAAACATTGACGTATGTTAAAAACATAAAAATCGTCTCACCTAAAACAAATTCCCATGTATCGCAGCCTAAAGAACGCTCGGGAATGATTTCCAAATCCAACATGTTGCACAGTACACAAAACAAACACTAAACTAACTAATTTTTAGTCTAAAAAACAGTTTTTCAATGCTTAAATACAATATTACGCTGCCTCTCTTTGTTTGCCAACTTTAGTTTTCAACCATTTTGTATTTGTCAGAGGAACTGTCATTACAAACAGCTGATTGTGTAGAAACCAGGGCCGAAATCGTTAAAATTAAAATCGCCGATTTGTTTTTGCTTATGGTTGTTATTAAAACTGTTTCCGCATACAGTATCCTCTAATTTTTTTTAAGGAAAGGTTTCTTGGTTAAGCGCCACTGTAGTTAGTAGTAGTCATGCTATTGTAATATGTAATATGTAAAATATATACAGTATTTTTAGAACAATTTTCAAAAAATATCACCTCAACAGTATTTGACGAAACCTTGCATTTATGTGCAGCAGTCTAGTGATCACATATCGGAAGACCCGTATGAGCACGTAATTCATACGTCAGTTTCATTGGTTTATTTTTCTAAAGGAATATAATAATTTACACGAATATCAAAATTTCTAGATAAATTATAATAATACGTACACATGAAAGACGTATTTTACGTGGTACTGATTGCTGGTTTGATTTTGTCTCAACTAATAACAACTTTGAACTATACAATCGAAAGGGTATCATTAATGATAATTTAAATTAGATACAGTACAATACATATAAAAGTTAAACAAAATTCTAAATACGGACCTGAGTTGGTCTAATGACGCATGCGTACCAACCGCGAAAGAAAAAAAATATGTTGTATGCACTGCTAACGATTATCTCGTTTACTCACCTGCGAAAACCTATGTCCTATCTCACTTCCATCAACAGTTTGTATCCTACCTCTGTTTAGCTAAGCAAAACTGTATAACTTTGTCTCTTTCTATTGTACTTGTTTATTGACAAAATGGAACAAGTGTTGTTACTGACCGTTTAGAATCCATTGTTGGCTTTTAATAGAACAATACAAAATTTTCATTGAAAGATGGCAATGTACTGCGATATTATGAAATTAACAAAACAAGACTTCTAATTGCGTTTCATAATAATTTGTCCCTGAATCATTCTCGCCATAGACAGATCGTCTAGTTACTGAAATAAACTATTCTAGAACAAAAATTAATGAATAATTACGTGTTGTCTCTATGTTGAGTTAGTTTCCCGCCAGTCTAATAACCTTGGTCTGAACTTACGCCTACGCTTTCGCGCGTAAGATTGTGTAAATGTTTATTTACCTACATCTACGTATATTTTACGTAGATATACGTCAAACTGTTACATGCGAATATCCTAAATAATGCCTACGTAACTTAAGTACAGTCGCATGGAGATAGATAATACTGAATTATGTACAAGAAAAAAACATGAAGGTTTCTAGCCACAGGTTTTTAAATGTTTATGGTAGTTACCACCAAATTTAAAGAAAAAAAAACATACTTCAATGGAGGTGTAATATTGTAAAATGAAACGAAATTTAAAAATACTTTTTAACGAATAACGTTTATTTATCTGTCCTTCTTCTTGTGCTTAGATTTCTTATGTTTGGATTTATGTTTTTTCTTTTTCTTAAGTTTTTTATGGACTTCTTTTGCATCTACCCAGGAATCGGAACTTGTAGAAGATACTTCTAAAACATCATCGTTCTTGGCTTTACTTCGAAATACAGGTTTAAAATTATCCAACGGATTTTCAATTCTTTTTTGCAGGTTTTCGGGAATTTTGGGTCCATACACTTCCGCATCAGGTTGTACTATTCTATCATTTTGAATTTCATTTTTGGAATGGTGTCCTTGTCCTTCATTTTGATTTTGAACATTGTTGTCGTTAGGAGTAATGTCAGGTATTTTATCGTCGGCACCCATCGCCTCGGGTTGTTTATCATTAGCATTTCTTTTCCACGAATTTAATTCGTCAAAATCTATATTTGCAAAAATACCCCTAGGTGGTGATGTGTTCCTTTCAACATTTTTAGGCACATTCAATAGATCATCAAAATCAATAATTTTATCCTTTTTATCATCAATTTTCGGTATTTCTTCTTCATTTTCACTGTCACTTAGAAAAATTGATTTATAAAGATCCATTTTGTCAAACTTTTCTATAGTTTCAGTGACGACGCCTTTATTTTTATCTTGTAAATCTTTCACGGATTCCTTTAAAAATAATTCAGCCACTGTCAAACGCTTACTGAATCCTGTCGCTGTGATATTTTCACTGGATATCTTAGGTACTTCATTAGAAATACTAGTTAAACTTGTATTAGTTACAATCGGTGCTTTTGGCACTACTTTCGTAGTACTATTTGTATTCGAACTTTGTTGTCCAATTTCACTTATAGATTTTGATCCACTGAATTTGGCCTGTTCCTTCGCGAAGCTTTCTTTATCATGTACAGGATTTTCTAAGTAGGAAAATATGGAGTAGGCTAGTTTTGGTTTTTCATCTTTCTTGGGCTCTGATCTGTAAAAATTGAAACAAGTTACACTGTGCCAACCCGTTGACATTCGACATTAATGTGCATGTGTCATAACGCACGTGACAAGTAACGTAGTATCGCGGCGGTCGCGCGTTCCGGTGTGGCAAGGCTCATATGAACTACGTACATTACAAAAATTCCCGCACTTCGAACGCTTCCGCGGACGCCTCTGTGTGGCCAGAGCATTCATTAACCAACCTTCCCTATCATAACTAACGCAATCGACATCTTTAGCGAACTTGATTTAACATATTATCTGGAATCAGCGAAACGAGATCTACAAACCCCGATAAGCGGTTTTTATATATCTTATTTAGTTTTATTGTTAAGTCAAATCAGCGTAATTGACATTTTTCAAATAAAGAAATAGTAGGTGCCAATGTGTCGAAAACATCGAGTATATAATGTGAAATGTCACTTAATTTGTTTGAAAACTATTCTGCCAAATCATTAAGGTGACAACTGCGCACCGATTGCCCAGCCCGAAGTGTCGTCAATTGTTTCACTTTAACTCGCCCAGTTTAAGTTGAGCTTTGCTATAATGGACGAAAATTGAAAAATTACATATTTAATATTTAATTACCGATGAAATGTGGTTCCGTTTGTTTTGTAATTAGATGTTTTGCTGTTTTTCCCACACCACTGAATGGAACAACCACTCACAGTTAGAGATATTATCTTTATTACAATAAATACAGAATATTTTTAGAATATACGTAGACGTATACACAGTAGTTGGCGCTGTACTATATCAACTTTCTAATTTATGATTTCAGTGCAAACGACAGTTGATATTTAAAAATGATATGAGGCCCATTTGCCTGATAAGTTGCCAGTGATGGATGGCCGTTATTTCGTCTCTATTTCTGGATATATACTCGATGATCGAAAGTTATCAAAATGCAAATGCGTAAGTTATGACAAGGACGGCAGTATATTCGTCTGTTTTCGTGTAACTCGCATTAATCGGATTGCTTAAATAAGCTTTTTTTAAATTGTTTACATATATAGGATCTTTTATACAATGTACGAGTATATGGCAGTTCCATTGTATGTACATCTATTTGCTCGTTTCGTATGGGGTTGCCATTATACAATTTCAAACAACGTAACGTTTAGAAAATAGTACTGCAATTCTTTTGCGTATCGAACGCAGCGGATGTAAAAATATTTATTCAATGAATAATTGATTGTTCATTGAATAAATATTTAGACAAAGACTGAAACTGAAAGAAAACACGTAGAAAAACTTTTCTTTCACTTAGTGGGATTTGAACCCACGACCATGCTGCACCGTAGCATTGCTCTTACCAACTGAGCCACGGGTCACGTTACCGAGCTGTCGAAATTCTCCTGTGTTTTTGTTATATATAGATCTTTGTACTGGCTTTTGGCATTCGTCGCCGATAGCGACATCTAGTGAGAGATTTTGGAAAAACCGTCTCACCGCAGCCGGTATCTTTATAATAATAATAATAACGCACACGCTCAACATAGCCCCGCACTAGAAAAACCCTGTGTTGCGGGTGCCATAGACATACACATAGATAATCACAGGATTGTGAACCTTCTTCGACGTGCAGGTTTCATCACGATGTTTTCCTTCGCCGAAAAGCTCATGATACGTTTCAAATTAAATTTATAATAAATAAATCATTTTCTATTAATAATCATAACAAAACTAGAGGAGTTATTTCACAAAAATGAATGAATTATTTAGAAGTTAAACGTGTTCACCCACCTAACACCAGGTTCGGGCACATTAAATCTTTTGCAAACAATACTTTCGGGTTTCCACACACTCTCCCGTCTGGTGATGACTCCATAGACACCCTTTTCTGCCGCCTCGATCTGTTCACGAGTGGCGAGCCCGTAGTTCGTACTGCTTTTAGCCACAGCGCAAAGTGGGTTTACTGCGTCATCTGGTTCGGAGGCGTGAGTGAATCTGAAATAGAGTGGAGTTGCATTTGAGGTGTCAGATTCGATTATAATCATTTTATTTTATTTAGATAGGCCAATAACAATTATGAATTATAATAATTATTGACAACGCACGTATTTGTTAATTAAAAGTTTTAATTTAAAACGTACAGTGAATAAAAACAAAAATAAAAATTAAATAAAATTACATAATCAAGTCGCTGTTAAAAGTAATACAATACGAGGCAAAAAGTGAAAAAAAAACATTAAAATGAAATATGGATCATGATCATCATTTCAGCCGAAAGCCGTCCACTTCTGCACATAGGCCTCTCCTACAACGACTGGCCTTGTAATGAATATCTACATATATCATTAATATACAATAAAATTAATAATAATATAATTATAAATATAATACAATAACCATATACATATACACAACTATCTCATCACAATAATCTGCTTCTTTAATAGCGGGCAACATTATAAACTTATTACTATACAGATTATATTTTTACGATCTATCTGTACAAAATGTAGGTCAGCAGGGATTTGTTAGCTCGTGTCAGGTTTGGTCAGACTTGCCGTCGTCGTCTTTGTCGATCTAATATTGAATTCCTGACAGTCTAGTGAATCTGTCCTTGTGGCCATTCAGTCCACTGGTCATCCATGGAGGCTGAACGCGACAATTGTGTTATAATATTGGTATATTAAAAAGATTAACCAGCTGACTCCTCAGATAAACTAAAACTTGCATATTTCTTGGTAGATTTTGTAACAGATATTTTTAACAGTTCCACACACGCCGATTACACACAGTAAATGTACAATGATACAAACATACTGTTGTCCACTAAGTGAAACGCTGCTAAGTGACAAATGGTCAAATATACAGTGTGTTGATTTGCATTATCGCCATATTTAAGAAATTAATAATAGAAATAATTGTAAATCATCTAAAAATACTTTAAAAAAAATCAGTTGAATGTTCTGGCTAATTGTATCTAGTATAGTTTTGTAAAATGGTCCCCCAAGTGTATTCACCGCGGAGGACAGTGACCTCACCACTCGCTTCACCGAGCGATACGTAACCTTTCTCGATCTCTTTTAAATCATATTTATGTACCAGTATTGTTATAATTTACTAATTATTTAAAATAGTTAAAAAAGTCGATTTGAAAAAAATATTTTTTGTAACTTATATTTGGTACTTACCAACTTTAGGTTACATGAAAATAGTGCTAGAAGTACCTAGCTCCACAGCTGGTGGCAGGCTCCATACCGGAGCCAGCCACATATATACAGAGTTTCGTTTCAACTTAGCACATTCTTCACAACAGAAAAAGCAGGAAGAAACTTTCTTAAAAGTTCGACACTCGTAAGCTGCGTAAACTAAACGTTTCACATCGTGTCATAAGAACACACTTGATGGCAATGCACATGGTAGTGGTTTTTTTTTACTCATGTTTACATCACACACAAACCACGTTGCATTTCGTGAGAAAAACGCACATCTTCTGCGCATAGGACATTGTTCAAATGGTTTCCGGTACCTGTGACATGTGTAGTGCAAGACAATGACTTTTGAATCAAACTTGGTTACTGCAACTAAATAAAAAATAAGAATTTAGGAACTTTTTTATTTTTTTTTTAGTGATTTGGGTTCAGTTTCGAATATAGAATGACCTCTGTAAATATGGCGAGAATGCAAATCAACACATTGTATAGCAAAAGATAGAGCACAGAATTCTTTTTTGAAAACAGGTAAAATTAGTTGACGTGTTCGACTTATCTATAGATGAAATCTCATTTAAGAATTTCAATATTCTAAAACTGGGTTATGGTGTTTTTTATGATATCTTAAAAAAAACTATTTTGTCACTTAGCCGCGTTTTAGTTAACGGACTGCCGCATACCTGTCTCCCATCTCCCCCGTAAGTGGTCTATAAAGCTTGGCAGCCTGTTCAAACTCCATCATCTCTCTGTTCCGCTCCCACTCGCTCAATCGGTCAATATTGCCGTCTCCCTCTTGCACGAAAATGTCCTTGTCTTTCAGGTAACTCTCGTACCGAGATTGCTTTGATGGGTTGCTGGCGAATGGCTTGAATATTTTGGTGATTTCTTTGCCTAAAAATGTTTGAGAATTTGTATAAATATATTGTACCCACAGGAGAATATTGGATTTTTAAATATTTCTGATGACCATGGATTCAAGTCTTTCAGTCAAAATATAAAAGATAATAAACATTGAAAGTAACATAAAATAGAGGAACACTACTAAAATTTCCAAAATACGGCCGTTTTTTTATTTTCAAAAATCTGGCTGGTTATTTTACTTATTTGTTTAAATCTAATTCCATAACAAAAAAAAAACTATTGTCATTTTACATTACTTTGTTTTAATATCATACTAATAGAGATTTCACGAGTGGTTCAAATGACGGGACGAATAAATCGTGAGCCTGCAGTATTTTTTTATTGGGGTCTGTGTGTCCATTCTTATCATTTTTATCGCGTTTAGTCGTCATTTTTAATTATTAAAACTTTTTAACAATTTGCGTTCATAAGAATATAATTTTTAATACGGACACATACTGTTAATATGGAGGTCTTATCTTCGATAGGGATGGACTGTTTTTTTTATGATATCAAGTGACGGGACGAACAAGTCGTGCGTCTGGTTGTAAGCGACACGCCTGTATTAAATTCCGCAAACTTTAATCGAAAAAGAGTTTTTAATTATTAATCTTAGATTTGACAATGTTAAACTTTAGAAATTTTTACAGTGCTTTGCCACTAAATCTAAAAAAAAGCAATTTGCTTAATTTCGATTCTTTTTAATAAAAAATGAGTAAGCTTATATTTACCAAATCGATGATAAAAGATGTTAAATTTTATTTATTTTAATATAAATGTTACTATTTTATATTTTCTTTTTCTTCGGCTCAAGCTCTACAACACGTAGGGACAACGTACCTGAATCTTTGATGGGTATGTAATCCATTTCTGTCTGTCCCTCGGGTCTTGTAGTGACAAAATTAACATTACGTCCAAGTAATTTTGCTATTGGATCGTTTTTACTACTTGGGTCTACGATGAGAGAAATTGGTGTAGTCTCTTGGGTCAACGTGGATGGCAATTGGGTGGATGTGGATGGTGCAGTAAGGACTGGTGTTTCGCCTAGAAGTTGCCCTCTTGCGTTTGGAGTTAACTCGTGGCGACCCAAGCCTGTAATAAGAATAATATGTCGTGAAGATTAAGGCGGATTTATATTTGTTTGGCGTGTCGTGTCGTGTCGTGATGCCCTCTGACATGATGGTAAGCGTTCACATCTATATGTCGTGTTCTGACTCTTTCTGACGATATTTGGAAACAATACCGCCGTGGCTCTCGGGTGCGTTAGCAATGTCTGACACGTCATAACACAGCACGTGCACACTTGTCTGATCTGACGTGATGCGGCCGTTCCGCTGACCTCCCACCTCACCCATCCTGACGCAGATCGGGATCGCTTCTGATGCGACACAACACAAGCCGTCACGTCGGATTGCGACACACTACTATAAATCTAACCGTATTAAATGCATGAAATCTACACCGTTCTGACATACAGGGAATTTCCTACTTTGAGACCAGATAAATTGGTGTGGTTATTTGATACCTTATCATTATGATCATCTAATAAGATAATTACAAAAATCAGAGCGTGTCTGGGGGTCTACTCTTGTTCTCTTTTATTCGCATGATACGTCTTTTAATTTAAAATAAATCCATGCTAATGTTTTAAATGCGATAGTAACTCTCTTTGTCTGTTACGTTTTCACACCTTAACCACTGAAGTTCGGAAAATTTTGGTATAGAAATAGATAGGACCTATGAACAGGACATAGGCCATAGGAGAAGGACATTAAAAAGGGGTGAAAGTTTGTATGGACAACCAATCATTTCTCAAGCAAGTACAGTACTTAGTACTTCTAGTCCCACATAATAACCAATGGTCGGAAAAAGGTGTTCCACGTATATAGATACACGTATAGACAAAGCTACAAGGAGCGACATAGAGTTGTCAAAACCATCAAAAATTAATTGCTTTCAAATTCCGGATTTCCGGAAATGGTTTTACTGCATCGTAGGACAAGCTACTGACATAGGAAGTCGAAGTTGGATTTTAAGTCGGTCTAAGAAAGTAATTCTAGTGGTGCCATGTATAGATACATGTGTAGACATATATCTATATTTATGGAACACCCTTTTCCGACCATTAATAATAACATACCCTGATCTCTCGGCTGTGCAGCAATAGGTTCGAAGCGTGATCTCCTAGCTCCAGCAGCCATCGGTGTGTAGTCACGTGGCAGGGCTGGCGGCGGGTACGATGGAACTGATGGTAATGGCTTCGAAGACCTAATGAAACCTTCTAAAACCTGTGTACGAGATAACAATAACACTATTTTAGTACCCATTAGAGTCTTGCCTATTTCTGCCGCCAAGCAGTAATATACGCATTATTGCGTTCCGGTTTTGAAGGGTAAGGATGCTGGTGAAATTACATGGGACTTGTCAACTTATGTGGTGGCACTGGTGTGTGTGGGTGGCAATGCTACTAACAGTTTTGCGATGTATAGCACCGAGTGGGTCTGTAACTGTTATGGACAGGCGTGTCGCTCACCACCAGGTGCTCGACTTGATCGCCCCGTCACTTGGTATTAAAACAAAAAAAAGACGATTGTCAAAAAAAGGTAAATTTATTTTACATCCTCTTGTAGAATCGTTAGTAGTGGTTCCGCGGAATGATACTCACAAAAATTACTATGCACAGTTTATTCGTTCACGGAAACAACACAGAGATTACACAAGCACAGAAGGAAGATAAGAGTTTAAAGCAGAAGGAAATAGGAAATATCGAACACAAAGTACATCGGTTAGCAATAGCTCGCAAAAATAAATAAAATAGCGGGGTAGCTGAGATTACTGAGCATACGACACGCATTCCACTCGATAGCAAAGAAGCGACTCGTCTACGTCATGCCACTGCCGCGCTCGGCTCCGCCCCCCGCTATTGTTCGCGGCAACCAGTCCATCATGCTGCCGGCCGGTGGACGCGCACAAATATCTAATAACAAAACCCAATGCGCGTGTCCGTCTGTACACTATATCTATTACACATATTTTACTTTACACATTTAAAGTATTGTTGCATACATATTATATTTATAATTATGTATTATATGAAGCTATATAAATTATTTATCTTACACATTAAACAGCAATATTTTAATGGTATGTATATAAATATAAACAGTAAGTAGGAATATACACTTATATAATTAACGATAATATAATTATATTTATCTTAATTAATGTAGTCACCCTACACTCTTATTGATATTTCATTAATAACAATATCATTGGGTAATTTTCAGCTTAGTTTTATATACCTAATTTCGGTGGCAATTTTTATTATTTAACATTCGAGTGTAGTATTCTGAAATATTTTATAATATTTCATGATAATATACCCGTATACTTAAACAATAAAAAGTGCCACGGAAATTAGGTAGATAAGATAAAACTTACTTGAAAATTACCATATTATCCAATCATAAATATGGAAAAACTTTTCCCCGGTATCAACTGTAGCTCCATTCCATCAATCGCGTACATGTCCTCATCCACCACAACCGTCACTACCACACGGACAATGCTTGACACATCTTTTCAATTACCAAGTAATTACTTACATTATTCCCTTGTTTCTGTTTTTTCGTTACTTTATTATCATCAGCAGCACCGCCAAGTGTGAAGTCGTAGTGTGACATATCCTCAGTCGCGTATATGTCCGCATCATCCACTTCAAATGCCCCGACACCAAATGCTTGACCTCGAATTGATACCTGTACACAAAATTGTTAATCACAGGGTTATATTTAACTTGCCCGAAACATTTAAGACGATATTAATAATTTCTGAATCAGCTGCTCGTTAATTTGTATGGCAATTTTTTTGTATGATTCCAAAGATCGCAGATCTAAATTAGTTATTTTTTACACACAGCTCCGCACTAGGAAACACGTGTCGCGGGTGCCATGGACACACAGACAACCACAAATACACCCAAACTCTCGAGAGGAATAAATGTTTACACATATTTTTACCGGCCTGGGAATCGAACCTAGGACCTCTGCGTGGCAGTCCAGCATGGTAACCGTTCGGCCACGGAGGCAGATTATATAATTATAGAAATGAGAAACAATAAACAAATATTTAAATAATACACACAGTGTTTGACAGTTCATTCTGAACTTAAAATTGATTTTGTAGTTAGACGGTAAGAGGTTGGTGTAATGTAATATTTCTCCTTCGTTTTTTTTTAGCATTAAACATACAAAAATGTTGGGTCTTTTATCAGGCACCATTCCATTCTGTCGTTTTTTACGCAAAGCAATTTAATAAATACGGTGAAACGAAATTCTATACATAAATATACATCCATTCGCTAAGTTTACGTAATTATTGCTTTTCTTTTAATCGTGGCATCTTTACATATTTAGTCGTCAGGAATAGTGCAATTACGCGTAACTAGCATTTGATTATGAGTTTCCATTTCGGTAATTTAGAGGTCAAATCACATCCGCGTACATGTCGTGGCAACCAAATTAGCGTGATTTACGGGAATCTATTGTTATCCGTCCGTAGACAACATAATATAGTGCTTACTGTGCAAAAATGAAAGTCATAACTATTGAAATAACAAAATAATAACGTTAAATCCTTATCCTGTGAAATTTTATTTGGTGCTGATACGCGCCTTTTACCAATACTACATACGCGGATCCCCGACGTAACCTATTTCAAAAACTAAAGAAACAAGGTTAATATAAACATTAAACAGGAACTTTTTGAAATTGTAAATGTCAAATGTCATCAATTCTCATGATATTTTTAATCGACTTCAAAAAAGGAGGAGGTTCTCAATTCGACTGTATATATTTTTTTGCGTGTACGTTAATCGATTATTCCAGAATTAGTGAACCGATTTGATGATTGTTTTTTGTAGGAAAGAGGGTACCTCAGCATTGGTCCCATTTCAACTTCAAGAAAATATTCCACCTCTAAGGCTCAACTCATACTGGCGCAGAGTCCAAGCGTCGCGACGCATTATGTTTTTCGCCTATAGCATATTCATCTCTATTTTCCCATTGCTATCGTGTGTCGAGCGGCTCACAGTGGGCCCAAATTGATAATTCTTGGACATAGGAATAACTTGTGGAGTATCGAGCTATGTTTTTTTATGTGATAGATAATGACATTCCTAACAACTTTTATTCTTGTATAATTTCTTGGAAAGTTGATAGTTTCGGAGTAAAAAAATATTTTTTTTTGCATGGAGAAATATACATTTTATTTTTTATCTCAAAATATACGAAAATGTAATATGCGTGGGTTACTTACAATATAGTTCCAATCATTTTCTATGTAGAAAAAAAATAATCCGTCTGAATGTACTTGCGGCTTTGTAAGTAAAGATGCGGCAAAATTGCTAAATGTTTTATGTACTTTTTTAACAAAATACATGAGCTTCGACTAAAGAAAAAATAATTTTAATGTAATTTAGAGAGTGTTATAACAATAACATGAAAGTTAAGTAGAAACTAGTATAGTGTGTTAAAAAATAAATAACAAATCTAAAATTTTGACACCTTTTTACTCGTAAAGCCGCAAGTGCCTGCAGATAGATTATTTTTTTCTTGACAGAGAATGATTGAACCTATATTGCAAATAAACCACACACATTACATTTTCCTACATTTCGAGATAAAAAATAAAATGTTTACTTCTCCAAATATAAAAAAAATTAGCTCGGTACTCCACAAGTTATTCCTATGTCCAAAAATTATCAATTTGGGCCCACTGTGCGGCTTCGCGTGTCGACGCGGTCGTCGCGCGTTACTTGGGTACAGTGAGGCGTCAGACGCCGACCGCACTGTGATCTGGGCGCACTAATGCGAGTGACGTCGCGCGTCGCCAGGCGTTCTAGTTGAGAAACAGGACGCGACGCGACGCTTCGACTCTGCGCCAGTGTGAGTTGAGCCTAAGGGTGGCAAACTAATCCGGTTTCGCGCACTTTCCGGTAACCGATTTCAATAAAACTTGGCAAATATGATTCCACGAATTTTTGAAGTTGGTTCCATAAAAAAAACTTATTCCTTTACTGTAATTTGTTATTGGAAGAAAAAGTTTATGAGTACTGCTTCTTTGTTTATTTTTTTTTTCTAATTCTAAAAACACGAATTACAGATGTGGTGATTTGGAACATGTCGACAGGTTGGAATTATGTAATGAAGTTATAGTAACTTACCCGCTTTCCTTTTTCCTTCATAACCAAATGACTAGTTGAAGCTCCGTCCCCATATTCCCCCACCAGATTACCCAGAACTGAATGTCTACTCAAACCAGAATATCCCAGACCGAAGCGGTCGTTCTTACGGGCTAATATATATGGTTCATAGTCGTCTGGGGCGAACAATGTTTCGAAGTCGTATTCTGAGTCAGAACTTGATGATTCCGGTTCCGGTAAATTCTGGAAAATAAAATATGCCGCGTATGAGTTTGACGCGAGTGCTTTTATTGAAACCTGAGTAAGCGAAGGAAGCAAATATTGAAAAAATAGATTCCTGAGCGTAGCGAAGGTTTCAAGACACAAGACACCAAACAACTTGCTGCCGAGCGAAACACACAACTTTTCACCTCGCTCTAGCTCTAGAGGAAAAAGGTAGATGAAAGAAAAACAGTTAAACAGTTGAACACATATAAATATATAAAACATCAGTTTTTCTTTCATCAAAAGAAAAAGTTTGGTGCATCCATCGTCAAGTTCGAATTTCAAAAACGCTTTTGCGCGCAGATTTCTAATGAAAAAGAAAGCCTTTCCAAGCTAGTGAGGTGATAAATATTTTGTTGTATATAATTTCAATACTCACTTACCTCTCTAAGCTCATCTGGCAGACAGCACCCGTAAACTCTTCTCTGTTCACCGGCTCGCCTTTTTTCTTTTTTACTAATCCGTTCTCCTGCACCCTGACCTGGTCTCCAACCCATAGCCCGGAGCATTTTCACTGCCGCCGTTTCATGGACTGCGTGAACCAGCTGTTCGAGGACTGGCTCTCCTGTAGAACATAGTGACAGATTGTATTAAATAAAATAAGTAGGAATAAACTTGTGGGAGTAAACAGAATATATTTGCTTTTTCAAGCAAGCCACTTTACGAGCTCTTTGTAAGATCCATGGTCATGGCTGAGTCAGCCTTTAGTTTGTTGGAAAAACAAATATACATGATTAATCGCAGAAAAGGTGTAAAAATAGTTTTACACCTCGTAAGCTATAGTAGGACCAATATATATAGTGGCACCAGCGCAAAACTATACGTAAGGCGCACTATAAGTTTCCGGAATGAATAAGAAAAAACACTATAAATGGTCAGAAATTAATTAATTGTTTCTCAAAATATTCTCTGTTAGCGTTAATGCACTTTTTCATAAAAATGAACCAATTTTGAAAACATTTATGCCTCTCCTCCGTGACAATCTCTGAAACATATTTTTCATACTCTTCGACAGCCTCTTCAGGTGATGAAAATCGTTGACCGCGTAACTGGTTCTTAATTTTTGGAAATAAATAAAGGTCACAAGGGGCCACGTCGGGACTGTACGCGGGATGGCTCATAACGTCAACGTTGTTCACCTTCAAAAATTCATTTGTCTGCCTGGCCGGATGAGAACTGGCTTTATCGTGGTACAAGATGATACGGCGTTTACGGTTATGTTTACGGAGTTTGTCAATAACTTCCGGCAAACAAATGGTCGTGTACCAATCACTATTCACGGTACAACGATTCTCCAAAGCAACAGTAGCCACATGTCCAGTTCTATTAAAAAAATAAGCAATCATCCGCTTGGAGGCACTTTGCACGCGCGCCACTTTGGTTGGTTTCGGCTCATCTCGAAAGACCCGTACGCTCCATTGTCGCTTTGTTTTGGGATCGTAAATATAAATTCATGTTTCGTCACGTGTTACTATGTTCCACACCAAATTTGACGCCCCTTAGTTGAATCTGGTAAGCATGGCATTGCACCAAGTGACGCGGTCCGTTTTTTGAGCCTGAGTCAAATTGTGTGGGATCCACCGAGAGCCCAGCTTTTTCACACTCAAATGTTTGTGTAGTATTGATTGTATTTGACTCAAGCCTATGCCTAAAGATGCCCGAATCTCATGGTATGTCACATGTCTGTCTCTTTTGATCATATGGCGCATAGCATCGATGGTTTTGTTGTTCACAACTGTGGACGGGCGATCCACGAAATTCGTCACTGAGATTCACACGACCGCGTTTGAATTCTGCAAACCAGCTATAAATAATCGTCTTGCATTGTGCTTCATCGCCAAAAGCAGTTTGAACCCGAGCACTTTTTAAATATTGTTTATGTAAGTGGCCAGTTCCGGAAACTTATAGTGCGCCCTATGTAGTAGTACTAGCGCACAACCATAGTAGCACCAACGCAAAACTATAGTAACTTCTGCGTACTTGGACGACAAAAATCCTTGGTAGTTGATTCATGATGATAAATGATAAATGTCTACAAATGTTTATTTTTTTAACGCACACACTCAACATAGCCATGGACACACACGTAGACAACCACAAATTACACCCAAACTCACGAGAGAAATAAATGTAGGCCATACAAACATTTTTCCCGGCCCGGGAATCGAACCTGGCACCTCTGCGTGGCAGTCCGGCATGGTAACCGTTTGGCCACAGAGGCGTTTAAATTTACATTGAGTTTCTTACCCATTCTCGTCAGGGAAATCTGCTTTAAGAATGTGTAGGAGATTTTAATCAATGTGACAGTTGCAGTTTGAGTTGAACTTAACTCCGATAGTAATGCTCTCTTAAGAACGGTTTTCTATATCTACAATGATTCAAGTAGATTCCCTTGCTGACCTGTCTCAAGTTTCCTCTATACCATAGTTTCCCAAAGTGGTCCCTACCGCCCGTGGCACTGAAGACTTCGAAGAGGGCGGCAGGGACCTCGGAAGCAATTGGGGGCGTTGACGCTGTCCAGGGGGTGCTACCGCATTTTAAAAAATTGTCTATATAACCTACACTACATATATATGTATTTATTTAACCTATGCTCTATACCACATCATAGGATCAAAATTCCTCAGCAGTGAAGGAACAAAAAAGATGTACAACCTTACCTGGTATAGGCCCATCATGGTATTGTCTCTGTCGCGGTCTTTTCTGCCCCGAGAATTCGCTATGCGTTTGCACATGGCGCGGTGCAATACCGAACTCACTACGGTCTTCTTCGTCCATGAAGTCTTCAGGTCTTTGACTCTATTGACAAGACATAGATCAATTTGAATAAGTTTTAGCCCCAATAAAAAAAACTTTATATTTTTACTGAACCAATTAGAAGTGAACCGAAGATATCGCTATAAGTAACCATGTTTTTGTGTTGTAATTTTTTAACATCTTATGAAACTTTTAATTTAACCTGTATAATATACAGATACTTTTGGAGAGCTGTGCATGTTGGGTCACGTTCCTCGATTATATAATTTCTGGTGCTGAGAATCAAATGATTTTATAGCGCTGCGAGCTTTTTTTTATGATATCAAGTGACGGGACGAACAAGTCGTACGCCTGGTGGTAAACGACACGCCTGTCGATAGTAGTTGCGGTGCCACTCGGAGCTTTAAATAGCGACTATATATATGTATTAAATTATTTACTTTATATTAGCAATATCAAGGCGGCAAAATTTCAATTTCATTGAATTTTATTTCTATTTTTTTATTTGTGGCAAAAAATTGTTTTTTTTTTATGTATGTATGTTAAGCGATGACTCCGGCATTTCTGAACCGATTTTGACGATTCTTTTTTTGTTAGAAAGAGGGTACCCCAGAAGTGGTCTCATGTAAATTTGAAGAAAATATTCCACCTTTAATAGTGGCACACTAGGAGATGAATGACCTTTGAGGTCAGTTTTTTTAGTACTCTATACTGAGATTATTCACTATTATGCTAAAACTGTTTACTACCACCAGCAGTCATTTGTTTAAAATATGATGGGATTGTTTTGTAACTAAGTATTAATAAAATAGTAATTGGGCAATTCTATGATGTTGTCGCATCTGGAATCTGATGTAAAAGATATTACCAATTCAAAGTAAGTCTAATTTGATTGTCTTTATTTATTTTTTTACGTTTTGTCATCAATCAGTGACTGCAATCAGTCCTTGAACCAATGATTTGATTTATTACATATCGAGTTCTTAGCTTTTCGCGATTCTACACATATTTTTTTGTTTTTTTTTTTTTTGCACAGACCCATAACCCCTGGGTCTAGGAAGACTCTGTATCGCGGGTACCATGGACAGACACATAGACAACCACAAATTACATCCAAACTGTAGGTCATAAAAACATTTCTCCCAGGCCGGGAATCAAACACGGGAGCACTGCAGGCAGCCCAGCATAGTAACCTTTCAGCCATGGAGGCAGTAATATATTTATATATAGACAATATTAAAATTAAACTGCCTCCGTGGCCGAACATTTACCATGCCGGACTGCCACGTAGAGGTCTTGAGTTCGATTCCCAGGCCGGGAGGAATATGCGTATGGCCTACATTTATTTCTCTCATGAGTTTGGGTGCAATTTGTGGTTGTCTAGGTGTGTTCATGACACCCGCGACACAGGGTTTTTCTAGTGCGGGGCTATGAGTGTGTTTCGTTATTATTATTATTATTATTATTATCAATAAATAAATCTCTGCTTAAGAGTTAATAAGACATGGAATAAAAAGTCCTAGACCTTTCCTTCCTCAGTCATTACTCAGCTGACTGTGTTCTACTGCTCCAATACTATTGAAATAGACAAGGATATCTATTATGCTTATTTCAAGAATGTTTCGTTTAAATGATTTTTCACATGAAACTCCTACGCAGAAAACAGATTTCATGCAGCAAAGCGTCTCTCTACCACGGTTCTGGTGATCATTTCTTCAATGATCGTCAACCGTGAAGATACATTTTAAACTAGGTAGTAACAGTGATCCTAAAAAGAGTGTTGCACTGCTGTTATTGATAAGAAAATATAGGAAAAAAACACAAAGAAGATTAACTTCGCAGTAATGCGCGATGCGGAACAATTCGCTAATTCTTGGGATGCGTCGCGAGAGCCCGTAGATTTCTACGATGCGACGTCGCGTCGCAGTTTGTGTTTCAACCCTTATGCTGCTGTGGAAGCATTGAAAAGTCAAAGAAGCAATAATAAATGTTACTTACAGAAACTGTGGCCTTCTCATTCCTAGAACTCTTAAAAGCAGCCGGAGTCCATCCTTCTGGAGTGCCAACACTGTTGCCATAACCCGCTGAGAATCCACCAGTGAAAGCACCATGAAACCTGCGCCGTCCTTGGTCATCCACTGCATATTGATCTGTCTGCTGCTGATATTTTCTTTTTGATGGCAGTTCATCTAATATTCAGTAAAAAAAAATATAATTATAAACTTATACCGTATTTATTCATTTATTGAGATTGAAACATACTTTTACGGAAAAAAAAAATATAATGTATGAAATGAAGGTGGCATCTAATTGGTTAGTTTCTTAACATTAACAATTTGTTGCTTTAATAAATTTCAAAAAAGTAAAGCTTTTTGGGTGAAGGTAATAAATAATAGGTCATTGTTTCAAATTATTGTTTCGGCAAAAAATTCATAAAAAAACCAAAAACAACAATCTGCAACAAGTACAGTAAGGCCAGCACAGCCAGGCGCAGTTTGCTAGAAGACGTTAATTCGAATCTAGCTGGATTGAAGGAATTTTTTCTAACCATTAAATCTTTGTATTATTTAATTATAACAAACTAGAGACAAAACCTCACAAAAAATAATTGAATATCATGGAGGTGAAACTTGATTACTCTCTACTTATTTTACTTTTTTATTATACATTATAAAGTAGAAGTGCCATGTTCTACTTCACATTGGCGAAATCACAAGTGCATACAGGTGGGCATTTATACAAAAAGCTCTCAAAAAGTTTGCTTTTTACAATAAGCACATAAGCATGCTTTTTATTTTAAGCGTAAGCGTTAATTAGTTCAATACACACCAATTTCATTTTTACAATGTGTCTTAGTTTCAAGTCTTGCCATTTATGTTCCATAAACAAATTTATATATCAATGTGAATAATAATTTTATAAATAAAAATAAAACTCGTGTTTTACAAATAAACTTAAAACCTTTAGTGGCCTACTCTTGCTTTTCGCTATCAACAACAACATTGCAAACTTTTTTTAACATAAAAGCCAAGGCGCTCAAACATTCTTCTAAACGATTTTTTAACTTCCAAACTAAAAAGACGCTTTTTAAAAAGCTACATTTTAAGGCTTGTTTAAAAAATAAGCAGTTTTTCCCATCTCTAGTTGTGCGCCAGATGGTAAGCTACTTATGCTATGTTTAGAACATGCTGAATTTTAGACACATTTTTCAGTAAAAAGGATTAACTCAACTTGTTATATTTAAACAGACAGTAAAGATTATAGCACCTAAGTTACAAGCTCGACATAGTCCAAAACTACAAATTGTTGTTTTACTATATTCATAAATGAAATACACAACTTGAAGTTGTCCTAAACCGAACTACGTTCTAGAATACGACCCTAAGAGACGTATTCTAGAACTCTACTCGACGCTCAAGTCAGGATTTGAGTATGGTATAAAGCACTCGAAATCATACTCAAGTCCCTGCCATTTGGGTCGTATTCCCAGTGCTTGTGTTTCCAGTGCAATCCTGACTTGAGTTTTTGGATTACTTATAAAATCATAATACGATAATGGCAAGGACTTGTGTATGATTTCGAGTGCTTTATACCATACTCAAATCCTGACTTGAGCATCGAGTAGAGTTCTAGAATACGACCATCAGTGTAATAGAAGACGTAGCAGCGGGTTAAGCCAATTTTAAGGTTATTTTACCAATTTATCAACATTAAAATAAATAATAAATAACCTTCCTCGTACGGCTCCAAAGGCGTTCCGTAACGAATAATATTATCTTCATCGGAATCAGTTTCACTCATTATCACTAGTAATGTTATTTGATGAAAATTGTCATGTAAAAAAGTATTCAAAACAGTATTCAACTCTCAACTTCCCTTAACCCAGCACAAACCACAAACTAGAAAGACACAAACCACTTTAACCCAATCACGGCGGGTAATCTTCAAAGAAGATTTTTGGGCGTTATGCCATTGGAGGAGCGAATTAGAACATGACTTTTTATTTTTTAATTATTCAAAATGGCCGTCGCTGCCATTTATTTTTGTCTTTGACATCGACATTTTAACTCTGGTTTATTATGATTTCATTATGGTACATAGTTGTCTATGACTTGATTACTGTTTGTCCTTGATCGAGTGAAGTATCGTTGATTTCTATACGTCCTTATCCTCTCAGCTAAACCAGTAATTTGGTGTGCTGTGTGGTAATTATCACCATGTACAAAAAGTGTTGCATAGAAAACTGTGCGAGTAAACGACAGGACGTTAAATTGCATCGGTTTCTCACATCTGAGATAGGACTCCAAAAGTGGTTACAATGCATTGGTAGTATCAACCACGTATCAACTTCGCAGTCATAATTTACAGAGACTACGTAGGATATATGTTTGTAACAAACATTTTGAAAAGAGGTTCATTACTGCCACATTGCGTTTACGTTATGGTGCTTATCCAACTTTATTTTCGGAAAACGAAATAACAAGTGGCTTGCCTGCAGAAGTTTCCGAAAACATTGGTAAGTAAATACTTTACTATAACATATTTATACTAATTCGCTGCTCGCTAATGCCGTTATTAAATCTTAATTAATGAATTAACTTAATTATTACCGTTAATGAACAGTACGTTAGACGTTGGTACGAAACTCAATAAACTTGTACTTTGCAAATTGTACTAAAATCTGAATTAAATTGTATTTGTTTATTAGTCATAACTTGTAGAAACTTGTAGCATGTTATCTGTTCTTAATCTAAAACTCTGTACTTTTAGGTAATAAAAAGAATGTAAATAAACAAGAACTATCGAATAAAGTTGACATGTTAATTAATAATTGCTCTTTACAATATTGAGGTATAAATCCGCGACAAACAATAGGATAACACAAATACAAAGAAACAACACAAATCGAGCAAAAACAGGAAAAAGGAACAAATTCAGTTTCAAAAATCATAAATAATATTTTCGTACATATTAAGAATAATACTTTCTAATTTAGTCGTTATATGTTAACTTCTGAGAAATTCGGTATTTTTTAGGTCACAATTTACTGCGAGAGAAAAAAATATTTATTTAACATTATTTAAATGGTTTTAAATTAAATAAATGTGTTTTATACTCGAAAGAATGAAAAGTAAGTGCTTGTTAATTCAATGTAGTTACTTAAGTAATACACTAAATTATTTTAAAATGTTAAAGTTATGTCGGACATCAAATGCTGTCCTCATAAATAACCTCTTTTACGTTTTGTTTACATTCTTTACCTAATTCGTACCTAAATGTACGAAGATATAGTTTGGGAAATTGTTTTTGATTACAGTATATGAATGTTTTATTCTGGTTAAAAACAATTTTCAATCCAAGCTTTAATTAAGCTAGTTTTTTGTTGTAATAATAATTATTTCAACGGTTTATCATTGCTTTAAAATTAATATATTAAAAAAATCATGTGACTACTGGAGTCACTTGATTTTTTTAATATAATATTATTACCTCAGTCCTTATTGTAAATTGCAGACAACATGCAATATGTATGCAAAATTAATCTTCAATTATAATATTTGCCATGAGTTAAAAAGACATTAATAATTTTTCAGTGGATGTGACGAATGAACACTGCTACACCAAAAAACAACATGAAGATCATTCATATTATAAGTCTGCAGGTAAGTTTCGGTACTAACATCTTTAGACAGTTACTTGTATCAAATATAGTTTATGTCAAATTTGCAAATTCTGACTAACCATGTGATGTGATCCTTAAACATAAGTGACGTTATTTATAAATTATGCATAACAAGGATTTGTGTTTTGAACTTACACTTTTTCATTTCAGATTTGGTGCATAAAAAACCGACTGCTACCCGTGCTTTTGTGCCCATTGAAAATCTTACGCAAATGGCAGCCAAAGGTAACTATTTTCAATTATCCGACCCATCTGCAGTATAAAATATTTATTTCTTGTTCTAATGAGGCTTAAGTACACCATATTGTGACTATATCATACTCATGGGGAAGCTCATAAACAAACCCAATAGCACTCCCTTGGTCAGAGTTATATTATAATAAACTCTTTATACAGTCTACTGCAAAATATTAGTTATTGTATGATTTAATTTTTGTTATTTAATTATGTATGTGAAGTATATAATATTGTAAAGATTTATCTCCTTAATTACGGCGATGATAACCTGATAAATAAAATTGTCGGTTTTAATGTGAAGCTCACTTCTGAATAACATTCATAATTCTTTATTTGAATTTATCTTCAGAAATGTTGAAAATTGAAACTGAATCCTTATTCTTAAATTCACGTGATTTTACTTGTCCATTGATTAGGTACATCTTTAGCCTGAAGATTGAACGTTCCCAGTGCTGAAAAAGATATTAAATGGAGTTGAGTCATTGATCATTTGCTTTACAGGTTTGGTGCAGATTTGTCCGGTCTCACCTAACACTTCATGCAGATGGAGAGCAGACCACGAGGAAAGCGTGTCCAAGGTATGTTATTATTTTTAATTAATTTGATTAAATGATTTTTAGCCTCTAATCATTAGGCTACTACGGCTTTTTATCCAAACTAACCAGTTTATTTACTTTATTTTTTTTTAATTTCAGAGTCGGAAAGTGTACTTACCAGGGAAAGTGGACCCTCGACTCCCAAACAAAACAAAAATATTAGAAAACGTTCGTTTCACGGTATGAATACCCTGACACCTAAATGTAGAAAAATTTATAAAATGTATCGACTGTCCAAGAAGCAGATAGATTTTAATAAAAGAGCAAAAAGGGCAGTTATGTTTAATGAACGCAATGTTTTTAATAAATTAACTTCCAAAATGAGTCCAGTTGCAAAAAAAATATTTTGGATGCAATCATTGCTTGATTTGCATCCATGCAAAGAGAATTAAGGGACGAAGATTTTCAAACGAAGAAAAAATGATTGCTTTATCAATAATCAATTGATCAATGTCCAAAATCTAATTAAAGAAACGGAGGTCGAAATTGTTACTGAGGACGTTTGTATCAAATGTTGAATTTGAAAATATTTACGTGCAAGCGTGTCGTGAAAATTTACACGTACACTCACGTGCATACACTGCGGGGTGGTTAGTTCGTAAAATTACACAGAAAGTCAAATGTGAAGATTGTAAAAACGATCTTACCACAGACGAAAGTTCTATCCATACTTAGTTTAGCCATAGGGAATTTAAAACCATTAAACAAAACAAACTAACCTACCCTTCGGAACATGTGGTTTCTTATTTTGGCAATATTGCGAATGATTCAAACGAATATTTATAAAAAGAGCCTCACAGAAATAATCTGACAAAAGAAATAAAACAACAAATCCTTGCTAAGTATTCCTATGCCTTTCTCAATTGTACGGTACATGCGCCGCTTGTAATAGAGTGTTTTATTACTATAACAATTCGTTTTGCGGTTTATAATTGGTGCAATATTATTATTAAATTATTAAAGGCACAGACGTATTTCGGCTACGGGGTAAGATTTTACCACAAATGCAACAAAAGGCATTAAATAAGTATCAAAAAAAATTGAAAATAAAAAGGTAAAATAAGTAATTTATATTTTAAATTGATTAAAACCGAACCGTACATTGAGGATGTCAAACAAATACTTAGTTAGAATATCTTATTTCTTTTGGTTATGTGACCCTCTTTTGCCTTTTGCCTAGCATTCGTTTGACTCGTTTACAACATCGCCAAAATACCTGAGCGCATGTTCAAAAGGGTAGGTTAGTTTGTTTTGTTCAATTAATGGTTTTCAAATGTTTTAAACAAAAATTCTGTGACTAACTGTCTGTAGCTAATCAAATTATGGATAGAATCTACGGTGGTAAGATCATTTTAAAGTCTTCATGTTAAATTAATGGGTAATTTTACGAACTAAATAAGTACCCTACCGTGTACCTGTAAACTTACGATTTGCTTGCACGTAAAGATTTTTAGTTTTAACATTTGGTACATTGTAGTTACACCTTCAAAAACATTTTCGCCATCAGCTTATTTAAATAGATTTGGTAATTTGGTCATTTCATTAACCGAATCGCCTTCGGGATTTTTACTTTGAATAGAATAATCAATAGAGACCGAAATCTCTTTGTAAAGGCGTGTAATCCGGAGTTATTTCTAAAATTATTGGTTGTCATTTGTACAAAAAAGTGTTCTATTGTGTGTCAATAAAAAATATTACTTAAAAAAAAAAGAGTGCTGCAGCCTAATTTGTTAAAGTATGTATAAATGCCCCGAGGAACTGCCCGTAAATATGTTTGCTTTTACTAAAAAAAATTGAAAATAAACAAGGTCAAATAACAAAATGTGTTAAAAATGTCATACGTAATTTAAAAAAAAACGAACTGTCATGTTCTAAATCGCTCTTTCCTTATTGGCCATTATCCGTAAAGGGGAGTGGTTCTAATATACATTCTAATATATATAATAACCCAATACTTTGACATTTGGCATTGACAGTTGGCATGCCACAGACTATTTATTTTTTCCATCCTCTAAGAACAACCAATGCCACAGACAACGTATATGTGGGCAGTTGGCAACAGCAATTGATGGCACTAGAGTTCTCCTTGATACATTGGATTTTATCGATAAAAATGGGAAACAACTCCAATTTTTTTATACACTGACATCATTGAACACTTCGTGTTATTGAACACATTATCTGGGGTGATCGCAGTGGCGATGAAGACCACCACCACCACCACTGCACGAAGACCACAAGAAGAATAGTTACCTACCTATGATCTTATATAGTTATTATATTCT